GCATCATCGAAGCGTTTGTATCCTAAATTGACTGTATCCCTGTTCCAAGTTTCCATCTTTATTTATTCTGGAATCGTTTCTTCTCCGTAGTTACTCCTCTGTGTTCGTGCTTATTTCGGTGCTGTGATTTTGCAAACCATTTCCCCGAGCGGTTGGTAACGTTTGACACAATTAATTCAATCGTACCATATACGCAGTCACGATAACAAATTATACCTGAAGGGATTGAAGCAACAAGCATGCATTAGCACCTAAGCGACGTGTGCACCGATGATCCTCCCATATTGCATGCGACCTCTATGACCCTACAGCCGTTAAGCGAAGATGAGTAATTAGCTTCTTGACCGCACGCACGGTTTCGAGCGTGTCAAGCGCGTTTCACGAGCATATTCTGTGTGTGTGTGTGTGAGCAGATTCGCTCGGACAGGCGGAGATCTACATCATCGTGGCTCTCCTGATCGGCTTCTTCACCGTGGTGATCGGCTGCTGGCTATCGGACAACTGCTGGTCGCCGGAACCGGAAGGGGTGGTAACCCTCGCATAGCCTAGTGCCGACTTCCGTTCCTCCAGGCGATAACAACTACTACGACGCCCCTCCTACAGGATTCTTCAGGACCTTGGCCGCTATTCGGATCATCGGCGTGACAACGCACCCGGCAATCATCGACCGTTGCTCGACATTAACGACAATGACACGCTGCTGCGCGTATGAGCGCCAGGCGACCTCATGCGGGACCTTTCCCATCGAAGAGGTATTCGCTCGATCGCGAAACAATCCCCTTCGCAAGTTCCTATTTCGCAAGAGAGATGAGCTTTCGAGCAGGATGGTCGATTCTTTGAGCGCGAAAAGAGACGTCGAAAAGGGAGATGAAATTATAAAGGAACGAACTTTGAAATTTTTCGCTTTCTATCATACATATCGATTCTCAAAGAAGCTGTAAGAGTGCGAAATTCGACGCTTGCCACTTCCAAAATGAGTGCGCTGGAATTAAAACTTACTTACGAAAAGTTACGTTGCGATATTTTATACAGAAACAGATGACAGTGTGGCTTATTGTATCCAATCGAGATGATCTCTAAGACTGGCTCTGCAACCAGTCGGCTCCTTTCGCGTCGTTATAAAGAGGTGGGAGAGATTTTTTAAGTATCAATAAAATGTATGTGTGTACGTACAGCATGTCTTGATTCGAACGCGGTTCTAGTAAGGATACTCTACGTTTTATTACATATATTTAATTGTTAATTTAATGCCTAATTAATCGGGCATTAATTGCGCGTCCAAGCGCATTGTTACGGAGTCCGGAGTACTCGCGATGAATATCAATACTGGGACTATTATCGCTTGTTACGCAATCAAGCGACAGGCTCTCAGACTTGGAAATAATTGATTTCGCTTGCGGCGAGGCGCAGCGTATAGAATTAAGGGAGATCTGTCCGATAATAGATGTCGAAAGAGAGGGATCTTCGAAGTAAAACAACTTGAAATCCATTTGCTATTAATACAAAACGCCGCTTATCACGTCGCAAATACACGAATGAAATATCAATATTCTTAATCTATCTTTTACTTCTTTTACGGTCGGTAAAGATCTTGCTGGAAATTTAAACATGCGACTCTGAAGATTCCTCCTCGATTTACCTCGCGGACTCGAGAGGCCCGCCACCGGCGAATCTTCGAGATCGATCGAGTTGTCTTTACGACCGGCAAAATTGCACATTCCAATTTTAAGGGAAAGTTGAAGTTTCGAGAATCCTTCATTCCCCATCTCTCAACGCTCGGATGTTCGGTTCGTGAAATCCGATCCGGACTCCGCCGGGCCCGTATTCACGAGCGAGCGGACGGATTGCGGGAACGAAACAGAAGCCGACGAAGTTCTTATTGCGATGATACGCGAAGTTGCCGCATTGGACACGCCGGTGGCCGCAAACTTCGTTGCGGCCGCGCGCAAAGTCCGAAATGGGTCAACAGCCGTGGGGTCACTCCCTCGTCCGCCCTCGCAACGTCATTAATGCGCATCGCATCGAGATGAGAGAACGAGGAGAGATGCCGATTCTCGGCTACAGCCGCGGATAACGTGACTTCGGTCACATGTCTTAATCATCGTGTTGCACGTTTATGACGTCGAGCCCGTCGGGGAACAACTCCGATGCTGTAGTTAACTCCCGATGAACTCCCTGGATGATTCTCGCTCCCGGTATCTTCTCGAATTTCGAGAAGACCACTCTGTATTAATTTTGCCATCAATTTCCCATCAGTCATTTATTGCTCGGTCCGTTGTTTCGTTATCTAACATATCGTATCGTTAGCAGACTGTTTTTTTCCTTTCTTTCCGCGCATCGGTGAAATTTGATGAGTTCCCCGTGTAATCCAGTATTCGAGCTTTATTGCTTTTAATTGAAAGCGCAGCGATAATTGAAAAATATATTGAGAGTAGTCGATATATTTTCTAGTTGCTAATCCGACATACACGGTTCTAGCAATCATCAGAAAAATTTATATATCGTAGATTGCTCGAAACACTATTATTTGAGATTAAATTGATTATCCTTAATTTAAATATTCAATTTTTTATAACAATTTATCTCATCTGAGATTACGATTATTCGCGTATCATATCGGATTTACTGTAGGATTAATTTACGTTATTTTGTTATTTCGTATTTAGAGAAGCGACCAACATATTCTAGGTGTACGTTGGTTATACATTTAACTGAACTATAGGATTGTTAATTACCGCTCTATAGAGGCGTAGGATCGAGTATTGACTTAACGACATCGGGGATGACTCGATACGATTAACTGAGAATGTCAGGACTGTCGTATTGGTTTTACTTTACAGCACGACTTATAGCGCGCATTGTACGGCAAACACACTAGAACTTGTTTGCACGATCTATACCGCTGGATTAATGAAATCGAGTAAATGAAACGCAATTGACAGCTTCTGTTTGATACTAACTAGCTCCAACGCAAACGTCGGTGTTTTCTCGTTTTAAAGCTCGGTATATTTTTAATAATAAATCGCACTGTCTCTCTTTATTATCTTATTAGATTTTTAATTCCAATTTTAATTTAACTTTTAATGCGATTTTGAAAACATTCGTCGCGCAAGCTAATACTTTTTCTGCCTATTAATTAATACCATGGTTTTAGTTTAATGAGTAATTTCCTTTAAAGTTTTTTTTTTTTTTTTTAATTAATGCTGCTATCTTGGGGACTTTCCTACTCTAATAAATTAATAATGCATCTGGAAAGCATAAATGCATATATTCCACACTTGATTATGGCTCTCAATGGGATCACAGGAACGGTAATAATACGTGTCCGGGGAAATCCTGCATTTGTGCAGAAAGCAGGAATCCTGTTTGCAAGATACCCGTATGATCGTGATTTCTGCCACACGGTTCTACTAACCAGTATGTCGATGAAATCCGGTTAGTGAAAAAAAATGGAATACGGACGATAGATTCAGGTATGAATATCTCTAACGGTAAGCCACTCAATTCAGAATCCAAATCTTTATGCTGTAAATGTCAGACAAATGGAAAAATGGATTACGCGAATAAGAGTAATAGGCAGAATTCGATTTAGACTTACAAGTCTGAAGTGAAAATTAGAGGAAATTGCATTTGAAATGAAAGAAGCACGCTTTGTGCTATTTCTTTATTCAAACAGACAATTCTAACTGAAATATTTAAAATTGCTGTAATATCTAATCGCTGTAATGACTCTGTCTTTTTATATGCCGCAACTTAATTAATTTTTTTTATCAGAGTCGAGCAAATAGAAAGAATTATCAAAATCTATTAGGAATCGATTAAGTGCTACGTGCTATTTTCGTTTGAAGATCTCAAAAGATGAGAACCGTGGAACTTTTTAAAGAAGATCAATATTCCAAGTTCACCGAAACTACACGTAAATCTGCTCGAATCGTTTGATCGGAAATAACGCTGGATTTTGAAATATTTTATACAATAGGTGATTAAATATCGCGACTGTTATTTATTGACGTATCGCAACGTGCTAATATCGCGCTTTCGGCCCGACTGAAAAATTGGAAAAATTCCGCGACGTCACGTAGATTTGATGCACTCTGCGGGCATCTGCGAGTGCATGCGCGTGACGTAAAACGCGAAACAACGGACAAGATGCAGATATCTACGTGCGATGCACGACAGTCGCAGACAGCACGATACATCATGCCGCTCGAAAGGGGACGTGATCGCTGTCGAATCAACCATCCCGCTTTTTTCACCTCCTTTTTCTCCCGCCCCCGTATATTGTCCCCGTGCGGGACGAGGGGACAGCATTGACAGACTAATTAACCCGGAAGCCTCTCCACGGCTTCCTCTGCGCCGCGTTTATTTTATCTGTCGTTCGAGAGCCCGCGAGCGCGTACACACGCACGTTTGATCGATTAATTGAATTTTGATGCGCTCCGACGGGCGGCTGATGATCTCAAAGGGCAAAAAATTACGTTCCCGGTGGAAATTTCATTTAAAACGCAGACGACAGTGGCATCAATCCTTTGAAGAGGGGCATATGCAACGTGCATTCTTCTTTGACGTCGAGTTAATATTCGAAACAAATTATGAAAATGTCATGATAATAATTCTTTCAATTTTTTTTGAGAGAAAATCCATTACTCTCGTTAATCTCACTTATCTTTATTTTATTCAAAGTCGCTTGCTTTGCCGTGTGGCGATGTAATTCAATTTTCGTGCTCTTGTGACAAGCCACGTCAGTATTCTTACATTATCCGAGCTACTCAGCCGTGCTCCTCGCGGAAAGATCAATATCTTCATCCGAGGAATCTCTTTTTTTAAATTTACATATGTAAAAGAACGCATATTACACGATTCGAGTACACATTTCGATTTGAGCTTGACGTTTTCGATTCGCTCCTCCGATTCGCGCGGAGATCGTGCACGCGGCGCGGAAATATCCCGGCGGTATTCGAAAGAGCCGAACAATCGGGACTCCTCCGTCGATGAAGATCCCAGTGGCGTTCCCGGGTGGCAGGCGACGTGAATTATGGCGGCCGGTACCGGACGTTCCCGGGCGACGATTGTCGCCGTGGCCGCGCGAGGGTGAGAATGCAACGCGCGTAACGTTGCTGGCACGAGCCACCCGCGAGCTACGTAAATCACCACGGACAGCGGTTTCGCTGGTACTCCCTCGTGTACTCGCGCGCGTACGCTCGTCGAATACACTCGCCGAATACTCTCGGACAATGCGCGATGTCCCGTCGCGGCCTCCGATGTCTCGAGCAGATAGCCCGGGTCCGGGAGTCTTCCCCGAAAACGTGACCGCAACGCGCGATCGCTCATTCCGCCTGACGTTCATAATCCCCCGCGCGAATCCGGAGCCCATTATCTTCCCCCGTCGGGGAGTAAACATAATACATTTTTGCCTTGCCCCTCGGAAAATGTGATGAAAACGCCGGCTTCCAGCGAGCAGATCGCCGACATGTGGAAACGATCAGACGAATATATGAGGTGACTGTTCGGAAGAGTCACGTGTGTAATTATATCAGGACGTTACATTTCCGTGCGAATAAATGTTGAAAATAAAAAAATGTCTAAAATAAATTTTGACGACGCTTTTTAAATTTATATTGATAATTTATATTTGATAGATTTATGTATGATAAATATAAATTTATTTCTGGACAATGTAAGTCTAACGATAAATATAAGTTTTTATTTTGAAATTTGAAATGTAGATTTTCAATTTCTAAATTTGTTAGGAGGTATTCAAATGTATCAGTAAGATTCTAAGTTAAGAGTACTTTACTTGAATGAAGAATAAATTTATTATCTATTTGCATTTGTAAAGCTTAGCTCGGCGCAAGAGTTTCGTTTTGAATTTTGCAAAAGTAAAAACGATTATAAATTCTATTATACACTTGCAAATTCGGTCTTATTATTTCAACTACTTATTATGGAGATGAGATAGAATATACCGTAAAAACCAAGGTGCTCGAAAATACAATTCAAAAGAAAAATAATTATTAATAAAGTGAAGTTTGGAAATCGAATGATCGAGCGATGTGAGAGTGATTTTACGAAAGTAACGGAAGGGTCTTGGAATATATCGGATCTATATTATTTTGTAATGCGTAGATACATCTTCGTTATTTTGTGGTTGAATTCACGTTGAATTTACTTT